CCAAATCCTTCCCATCAGGACTGCTATGAATCCATTCTTTGCCCAATCTGTAGTTTTGCTTGGGATTGCCCTGGCCCATGTGGATGACCTGTATAGTGTGTTGTCCTGAAAGCTTACTGATAAACAGCAATGTATTAGGAAATGTCTTGCCAGAATTAACCTTTTTTCCATACTGTTTATAGTCTGCTTTGGTGAGAGGTGTTTTTGTGTTACAGATATAAAGGCATGAAACAACACTTTTTTTTTGACAAATATTAGAGGCATGAAATCAGCCTTTTTAAAATTAGTTTGTTTATTTGCATAATTGATGTAAAATACTGGAACCTTAGAACTCACGTGACTCCCATGTCCAGAATTTCTTTTTTTTTTTTTCCTCTTCATACTCCCCCATAATTAGGCTTTACTTGACTAATACCTGCTTTCTGAATATTTTAAATGGTAGCTGTTTCTTTAATCTGGCTTTTTGATCAGTCTCTAGAGGAAGACAAAATATTTTATTGATGAATAGTAACAAAAAGACCTAAACTTTAGGAGGGCTGTGATTTTGTAACTAACTCATTTGTTTGTCGTATGTGAAAAAGTATTCCTGGACCATCAGGAGGTTTTAGAAAGCTAAGACCAGAAATTTAATTTCTCTGAAAGTATATTAACATATTTAAAGGCTGATTTTATTTGGGTGGACTTTTTTTTTCTGTTTGCCACTTTATTTTAGGTGCCTTTTGTATCTTTACAGAAAATTCGTGAAATAGCCTCTAGATATGACAAATATGGTGGTAATTCTATTTTATTTGAAAGTTGTCACCAGAGGAAGACTTAAAATGATCTTTATTTTCATAAAGATCTTTAAAAGTACCTTCACCTCAATTTTTGGACAATGATAGAACTGAATAGATCCCTCTGATTTGATCTCAACTGTAACCTGCAAATTACAGCTTTGCAACCTTTGCTTAATGATAATGTACTGGCTTGATCTAAGCCACACCTTCATGCCAGAAAGGCTCATGTTGACTCATTTAGCTAGTGTGCACCCCAAGGATACAAGTGAGGGCTGTAAATTGTTAGGACCTCTGCCATTGGGATAGACCATATTTTCATTCTGAGATGCACTGTATAAAATTATGCATTTTTGTTGCTTAATTATTAATTCACTTTTCATCTGTTCAAAATGTGCTTTACATAGTACTTAGCCCCATGACCATAAGCTTTCTTTTAAAGCTAAACAGAGATTGCTATCATCTAATACATGAGTAAAGATGAAATTTTACACAAGACTTCCAAATCAGTGCATGATATCCATGTTGAATTCCTAAACAGATTTAATTTTTAACACCTGTTTTTCTTCTTAGGTCAATATTTCACTGACTGATTTGGTTAACAGCAGTTTTTTCTATGTGCATTTTATTTTATTTAGCTGACAATGTGTCACGACCTCCTGAGATTTGTGTTTTGTATGTGTTATCAACAAAGTGTCAGGGGGCAGTTTATTGTTTCATCTTTAATGTAGCTCCCTTCTTGCTGATTTGTGTATCCCTTGTGTGAGAGTAACAATTTAGATCTGAGCCCTCTGCTCTTGTGTTCCAGGGGTCTACCTGACAGAGCACTACGGTGCAGTAGAACAGTTCAGTGCCTTACTTTTTATCAAGACCTAGACTTTTTAACCTCTTTTTTTTTTTCTGTTAAATTTCTAACCTCTGTAGAATTTATACCATGGGGAATGAGTCAGTCAGCTTGTGTATATGAGTGAAGAGTAATGAATGCAAGAAAAGCATCTTGGAGATAAGCTTTTTTAGTGCATTGAATTATGCACTGAGATAAAATCTTTATTGCTTTAGTACAAAAATCAAACAATTCCATGGAAATGAGAGTGCGGTAATGCAGAATTAAGCTTCGCAGAGGGACACAAAAGCTGTATGTGGAGGACTGAAGGAGGATGTGAGAAACAACAGTACAGCAGTGCTAAGTAAAGATAGGATTATTTTGAAGATTAAAAAAAAGTAATGCCAGAGTTTTGGTCTTTTTCAGCTCCTGACTTTTAATAGTTCACATCTTTTTGTTTTGTTTCTTGAGGATTCAATGAACTTTCCCCACACCCTCCCTGCACACTTCACCTCCCACCCGCCTCCCACAGGAATACAGAGCTTTTATAGCTAATTAGGTGTGCTTACTGGTAGATGAGTTTTGGAAAAAAAGATGAGTAGGTGGTCTGGGCCTGCTTATATTTCTTACAGTATACGAAAGCACTATTTTCTAGCTTTTCCTAGTGATCTATTACTCTTGAATTGTCTGCCCTCTGTTGTGCTGGTGGTTTCTGGAGTTCAAATGACAAATTGAATAGACAAGATCAACACTAAGAAATGAATTGGCTCATGTGTCAAAGCATCTGAAGGAGGAGTTTCAATTTTAATGTCTGCTTATATGAAAAATTCTGTAATCTGATGCTTCCAGACTGTAACTGGAGGGGATACCCTTTAGTAGGGCTGCCTAGTGCAATCAAGTTCTTGTGTGTCTCTCATCCTGTAACCAGAAGTATCAGATGCAGCATATTGTGAAGGATCACAAAATAGCCTACAGAGCTGAGCCTTCTCTAACTTCTTTGTCTTTGTAATATCAAGTCGATGTAGAAAAAATAATTTGAGATGCTGTGGACTGGTGATACACACTTCTGTGACTGCAGCTTCTATACCCCTCTAAGGACTCACTGAGCTGAATGTGTTGCTGGAATTGTTTTCTGTCTATCCAGTCTTTTTCTTCCTAAATCATTAAAAATATCACAGCTCACTGTAGTATAAAGCAGTCCACAATTAGACACTGAGAGAAATAGTGAGATTTACTTCAAATATCTATTTTTTTTTAATTCTCAAGCCTCCTCTATTGACAATAAATATCAGAAAGTCTTCCAGATGCTTACTTGTAAAGAACATACTGATCTCTGTAATGAAAAATGAAGCCAAGGATGAGTAACTTTTCTGCAGCTCTCAATAACTACTTTGACTATTCTTTCATTGCTTCTTTCCTACCTTAATAAATAATTGTTCCCACTGCCTCTCTGAGAACTTTTCTGCTTCTGATGTGTTAGAAATCCTTTTCCTATTAATTTCTATACCTGCAGTATATAACTTCACTTGTTTTGTTGTGATTTTATATCTGATTTTTATACTGTCTTCTCATTTTTTTTCATTCGAACATAAATGTAATTTTCTCTTTTTTTTTTTTTTTTTCTGTATGTTTTGGAAATGAGGGGAGAAAAAGATCCTTAGAGTGTCTTCATTATTATGTACTTACTCTGAGGATGAGCTGCCTTTATGCAGTCTATCAGCACTTTAACCAGGGAGCAGCACTTTTAAACATCTTCACTGTCCTATGTAGCTCATCCTCTGAAATACTTCTAGATTTTTTCTTTATTTTCTCTCTATGAAGATGTTCATGGGAATACATTGAGCTATTATTACAGAAGGGTCTTTCTGTAGTTCTCTTATGACCCATGTATAGTGTGCTTCTCTTTGCAACTGAATCAGGTCTTCTTGTGGTCTCTCAGGCTAGCTGCTGATAAACACTCATATGTAATTTCCAAAAGTGTGCATTGTCTGCCAACATGCTGTGGGTATGCTGGTAGCTGAAGGCTCCTTCTGTTGCTGTGCTTTCTGCTTCCAAGCCTCTCTAACATACCCGAAGGTTTTAGTAAATGCTGCTATTTGTGCTGGGCAGTTTACAGCTGTCTCCATAATACCTTTCCTATTTAGTCATGCAGTTTTGAACCTGAAAGATTTATTTTGATAGCATTGAGTCAAATCTGACTTTTAAACTATGCAATCATATTCCCATAAATATATTCTGCCTTGCAGTTTCTATATCGTATCTTGCTATGAGTGTCCAAAAATTGCTTATTTTCACCAAGTCTGGAAGATGCTTCCTGTATCTCAATTTGTAACTGATTTCTTGTGTGTGAGTTAAAACAAGACATTCTGTTTCATGTGCTAATTTTTTAGCATTTTAGCATTTTAGAGAAAGTCCCATGCTTAGCTGGGGATATGTGTACAGGTTTTGTTACTCCGTACTTGAACTTTGAAATCTTGCATGTGATTTTCTTTGTAGGACATAACATTTTTCACTTTTGCTAGGGGCCACATTATCCTGAATTTTGTGCCCTTCTTCACCTGTCAGTTTTCTGCAAGTCTTTAGCTTAAAATTTCTGTGTGGAGATCAAATAAATGGATCATATGTATCACAAGAATCTATCATTCAAAGCATGACATCAAATTTATGAGACAAGAGGCTCTACACAGTTTTATTTTGGTACAAGGAAGGCATGCTTCAGTTAATCAACCTGTTTCTTAATTGACTAAGCTGAAATAAATCTTTCCTAAATTAAAGCACATGCTTCTGACACTGCTTAATTATATAAAATTGTGTTTGCACCTGAAGTTACACAGGTAAAAGTTTGCCCTGGACGTGAGCCTAAAGTTACACTGAAATTGAATATGAAATTGGTTGGCATGTCATAACTTTGACCTTTGCCTTTGCCCTCTAAGGTGATATTGGAAGATAACATTTAAAAAATAAGAATAGATCATTATACTTGAACAAGAAAGGTCAGGGAAAAGGGACTATTTCTAACTTCTTACTAATTTTTGTTTATACATATAACTTGTTCTGTGAGAATGTTTTTCCTACCCTATTGATATAAAGAATATCATTTATGCTGTTTTCTGTGACAGTGTATTCAGACTCCATTTTTCTTTTATTCTCTGGGGGTCAATGTTTTATTCTCTGTTTTATAGTCAGTAAATGAAATCCTGCTCATCTGAAATCTATATTAAATCTAGAAATCTAAAAATGATTCTAGGACTCTGGGAATGCCTTTTTTTTTTTTTTTAATGGTGATTACATTAGAGTCATATTTATATTTTATTAAATACTTGTGCAAACGAAGACCAAACATTAAGACTTATTTGCCATATTGGTTCAGTTGATTTACATAACCCTTTCTGGCCCCATTTCAGGATAAAGCAGGAATGGAATTTCATATTAGAGTGCCGGAAGAAAGGTATTCCTCAGTCAAAATACCTCAAGAATGGCTTTGTAGACGCTGATAAGAAGATTCTGGACACATATGGAAAGACACCTCACCTGCAGAAGAAGCGTGTTTTGCCAGATGAAGCAAATAAGGAAAGAAACAAGTTTATTTTTCACCTTTCTGGAGAGCAGTGGACGGTAAATATAATGGAAAATCGTGTTTCTATTGTTAAACAGTTTCGGTAGCTTAGGACTGCAACTTTTCATTCCCAAAACTTTTTTTTTCCTGCCAATGCAAATAAAATGGATGTTTTTTCCACAGTGTTAGAAGTGACAAAAGCCTTTCCTGTTTCACCCTGAACTAGTGGTGTGGCTTTCAAATATGATTATTTTAAATACTCTCCTGATACATGTAGTTTAGCCCTCTCAAAAATTTTGGTATAAACAATCATATTGCAATAAGGTATCTTTCTCTGATATTCCCCAGTGATCGGAAAGAGATGAAAAGATTCTCTGGGTTTGTTAGCTCATTCATGTCTAGTCTACTACTCAGGGATCTGTCTTCTTGCTCTAATGGTGTGGTCACATTTTTCTCAAGATCTGTTGAAATCAGAATTAATATTAGCATTAATTCAGAGTTGTCTTGCTGGAAAAAAAAGCTCTTTTTACCTCCAGTTGTATTTGATGTGAAATAACAGTTTGGAAGTAAACTCTGAATTAGAGTTTTTATGACAGTCAGTGGAAGTTGGACTAGATTTGGTCTGAAGTTTTCTAAAGTTACTACACTTTTAATTGAAATGTATTTTGAATATACACTACTTAATGAGAAAGTGAAATTAGAATTTTGATTTTTGTGTAGCTTGTAATTTTGAAAAACATATTTTAGATTTTAATTACAAAAAACCCAATTTAAAAGTTAATTAACAAAATGACTAAATTTTACTAAAAAAAATATTTTGATTGACCTGAAATGTAAGTTTGTCCCAGATTTGAACTTGAATATAAAGGTGTTTTTCAGCTTTCATGTTTTTCTGGCTTTAGCTCTTTTCTGAATAAACATAAAATGGATGAAATTTCTGCAAAATAGAACACCCTGGTTCCATCTAGCTTTAGTAAGGAGACTATTTTTTCTACTGATGCAAATTATTTATTTAGTAGGGTTGGTTGCTGCAGAGCTATTACTTTTTAGCTTGTTGTCCAGGTCTAGCTGGGTCAAAATGAGCTTCCTAACAAGATGCTGCAACATAGTTCAGGTATCTTCAGACAAAGTTAAAATCAAAGCTGCTTTATTTAGAGTAGACCAGTGCTCCTTCAAAATAAGAGAACATTGTCAGTCTCTAGCAGCCAAAAATTATTTAAAAAATGTGAAAATCCCCAAAGTTCTGAAAGAATTTATTGCAGATATTTTTTTTTAAATATGTTATACAAGTCATACCACTTTGTTGTTTTTACTCTCAACTTCTGCTTCTAAACTGAAGACAGAATCAGACATGACATTAATTTCCCTTATCACTCTCACAGAATTGCACTGAGGCAAATGTGCAGACTATACAACAAAAGCTGCACAGGCTGGCAATTTGCATGTGAAAAGACCTGTGGATAGGTGACAGTTTTCCCAGAGAAGCTGGGATGTCATGTAGCTGGGAGATGTGGCATCAATTGTGGTATAGTTCCTGTAATGTCTTTTGCACACAAATACATTTATGAGTTCAAAGTTTGGATGATTAAGCACTCAGACACTGGGAGAAGTCATAGGAGGGGTTGTTTGTGCAATTTTACAGGCACATAACCAGCTTGGTTTGCTGTTGGCTGTCTACTTACTGCTGGCAGCAGCAAACACTACAGTCCTGTGAAGTGTCCATTTGGGAACTAGCTGCAGAATCCTCTCTTCCACTTGCTTTTAGCTGATAAGTATTTCTATTATGTTTCCCCTTTCTTCTCATGACTGAAGCAGTAATATATCCTCTAGGCAGTTGATAGCTAAATCTGAGTAGGTTGCTGGTATGCCTTACAGATTTAATTTTGAGAACTTGGCTTGCTTCTGGGCTGTACCAGTTCTCTTTCTGGACTCTGTGAAACTAAGTCTCACAGAAGAGTAATCCCCAGCACAGGGATTTTGCAAGATTGAAGCAAGCGGCTTTACCGCATCCTTTCCATAGGTCTCAGTTTAAGAGCTCCCACTTGAAACTTCAGCAGCAAATGAACTGCATCCACAAATCAACTTCTATCAACTAATGGTGTTATTTGCAATGTTTCATTCAGTTAAAATGGTAACTGATCACTGCCCAGGCTTTCTAGATGTTAAAAGTGTAGACATGTTACAAAGATGCTACTGTTCCATGCTCCATATCCATATGGCATAAGAGTGAACCTGGCTCACTGGTTCTGCCTTGTTGAGTATGAGGTTAAAAATAAGTTTTGTAAACCACTCTATTATATACTGGGATAGCTTGGACAATTATTTTGAGAATTACCTGGATAGTGCTCTTTTGAAAATCATCTTGGGTCTCCTTCAGAAAACCTGCGTAAGGCAGAATATAGGAGCAGACCACACATTTTGAATTAATGATAGAATTCCTTCCTTTAGCATCTCTGTATCACTTTTTTTCCCACCTCTCAAATGTCATTGAAAAGCTAATGTATTTTCATTAGGTGGAGACCCACTGTTCCTTGTACTTGTAAAGTAATTATTCTAGCATATCTGAGGAAAGATAAAGCTCATACAATGAATATTAGGTTAGACAAATAGGCACAGAGTACTAGCTAAAGAGATTAGGGCTTGATTTTACAGAATATGAATTCTGAGGAATTGTATTTTGTTTATGCAGATCCATAATTCATTGTGGATTATTAATTCTTACTAGTTATTATTCAATTTTAGGCTTTTTGAGACATGCAGTTTGAGCCTCTAGACATCTCAAGTCACAACTGTTTTCTAGCAATATTGTTACATTAAAATTAATGGAAATCTTCTGAACCACAGTGCTCTGATTATCAAGCATTAGTATCAAGAATTTTTATACTTGAAGAATATATAATCAGTGAGTCCCTCTGAATCTGAAAATCCTCTTGTAATTTGAGTACTGGTTTGGCCATGCCTGTTCAGGGTGGTTAGCTACTGGCTGTGGACAGTGTTTGATACCTGCAGTGATGAGATTTACCTTTGTCTGTAAAAGCTTCACCTGGAAAAGGCTGTGTGACAATATCCTTAAGATTCAGTGATCCTTGCCTCCTCTTCTGCATACCAATCACATATTTATGACTCAAGACATGGATCTGTTGGATGGATACAGAATTTTCTGTATGGCCATATGCAGAGAGTTATGGTCAATGGTTCAATGTCCATGTGGAGATCAGTAATGACTGGTGCCCCTCTGGGATCGGTGTTGGAACTGATCCTGCTGAGCATCTTTGTTGGTGATGTGGGCCTTCAGCAAGTTTGCTGATGACTGTATGGTGCAATCGACAGACTGGAGGGAAGGGATGCCATCCAGAGGGACCTTGACACACTTGAGTGGTGGCCAATACCAACCTCATGAAGTTCAACAATGCCAAGTGCAAGGTCCTACCCCTGGGTTGGGGCCGTCCCAGGCACAGCTACAGGTTGGGTGGAGACTGGGTTGAGAGCAGCCCTGCTGAGAGAGACTTGGGGGAGTTGGTTGATGGGAAACTGAGCATGAACCAGCTTCAGTGTGCACTTGCAGCCCAGAAAGCCAGCCTTATACTTGGCTGGGCTGCACCAAAAGGAGCATGGCCAGCAGTTCAAGGGAGATAAATCTCTCCCTCTCCTCCACTCCTGTGAGACACCACCTGGAGTACTGTGTACAGTTCTGGTGTTCCCAATTTTTCTACTACTGCTACCACCAAAAATAATAATGATAAGGGAAATAACAAGGGAAGAGAATACAACTGCTCACCACTCACCTATTGATACCCAGACTGACCTGAGCAGCAATCTAGCCTTCCAGGTAACTGCCCCCAGTTAATGTACTGTCCATGACATGCTGTGGTATGGAATACCTCTTTGGTTAGTTTGGGTCAGGTGTCCTGTCTCTGCTTCCTCCCGGCCTCCCCTCCTCCCTGTCAGAGCATGAGACTCAGAAAGTCCTTGGTCAGAGTAAACGTTACTGAGCAGCAACTAGAAACGTTGGTGTTATCAGTGCTGTTCCCAGGCTGAAAGTCAAAAACATAGCACTGCAGCAGCTACTAAGAAGGACAAAAATGACTGCTACTGCTGAACCCAGGATACCAACATAAAAAAGACACAGAACTGTTGGAGCAAGTCCAGAGGAGGACCACGAGGATGATCAGGGGGTTTGAGCACCTCCTGTGTGAAGATAGGCAGAGAAAGTTGGGGCTGTTCAGCCTGGAGAAGAGAAGGCTGCCTGGGGACCTCATAGCAGCCTTCCAGTATCTGAAGGGGTCTACAAGAAGCTGGAGGACTCTTTATCATGGATGGTGGTAGTAAGAAAACAGGTAATGGATTTAAACTTAACTAAGGAGAGAGTTAGCTTAGGTATAAGAAGTGTTTTACTGTGAGGATGGTAAGGCACTGGAACAAGTTGCCCAGGGATGCTGTGAGTGCTCCATCCATGGCAGTGTTCTCAGGACCAGGTCAGACAGAGCCTTGAGCAACCTGGTCTAGTGGAAGGTGCCCCTGCCCATGGCAGGGTGGTTGGCACTAGATGATTTTAAGGTCTTTCCAACACTAACCATTCTATGATTCTATGATTCTAAGTGTCTGCATTCCTGTGTGGTGCATTTTTCCCTGCTGCAAACAGTAATGAATTAATATTTATATTTAGGAAAGAAAAGGTCTTATAAAAACAAATGACTAACCTCTCTCATAATCTGATGTGAATGAAATCAGACAGACTTTTCTCGTCATAAAAATTGAGCAAAACCCTATTGTATTTCCCCAGCAGCAAGTATTTTCAAAACACTTGGGACTTGACAGCACAAGAATGGTGTATTGTGACAGAAGTTTTTTGATGATTCCAAAGTATATTTCAGAAAAACTTTATCAGTCAGTTTTCCGGACAAACTCACCGTGAAAAGGAGCTGTGTGAGGACATTGGACTCTTGTGTTGTGTGTTTGAATCAGTTGCCTAGAGAAAATGATGGAGAGTTGATGAAACACTTAAATGAGATATAAACAAGTATCTACTGAATTAAATCAGTTCTTCAGAGAAATAGCATTGCTATTAGAGAAGAATGAAAACTGTGGCAAAATAATATCATGAATATTCACATGAATTTTTCTATGTATCCACTTTAAGTCTGTTTTTCCCTCTGAGATTGTTTACTTTCTGCTTCTAACTAATGAATATTTAATTTCTAGTGGATCAGTGAATTTGAAATGATTTTCAGAAAATATTAAGGAAAAACAATTTTTTGAATTTGTGATATCAATATTGGCAAAGGAAAGGTGATGATGTTCACTCTAATAGAGAGCAGACTGTTCTTGGCTGTGCTGCTTTACTAAGGAAAGGATCTGGATGTACCCCTAATTTAAACAACTTTAATGTCAAATGTGCAGAAGTAAGTGAATGAAAAATGATAAAATTTTTTACTGGTACACCATTACTTTCTTACATATAATTTCTTTGCAGAAAAATGCAGCAAATAAATTACTACATTTGCATTTGTTCTCCCAGATTTATCATATAACATAACGTGTATATTCACAAAGAACAGAGAATTTGCATTTGTTATTCTCTTGTCACTGTTAGTGACAGCAAGGTATTTATTTGACACAAAGGGTCAAGTAAAATTGCTGCATTGAATGGACAGAGAAAATGTCTCTTGTGCTTATTTAATGTCCAGAGACTCCCCCCTGCCAAGAATAAAATTCCTGATCTAGCCATGTAATACAGATGGCCCTGTGACATACTAGATTTGGCACTAGCTCTAAACTTGCTAAAAAATGAGAGAGATTGTCGTGTTTTAAACCCTAGCCAGACAGCTCATTCACTCACTCCCAGTGAGTGGTGCCGGGCTGAGAGCAATCGAGGCTGCCCCGGAGCTCTCCCCTTCCCCGCTCCTGGAGGGATGGGGAGGAGGATCGAAAGAGTGCAACTCCCACGGGTTGAGGCAAGAACAGTCCAGCAACCATGTACAACACAAATCACCACCGCTACCACCAACGACAACAATGATAAGAGAAAATAACAAGGGAAGAGAATACAATACCACTGGCCAAGAAATGAGTCCTACCCAGAAGCCCGTGTCCTTCCGGGTAACTCCCAGTTACCCCCCACCCCTGGGCATGATGTGCTGTGGTATGGAATACCTCCTTGGCTAGCCTGGGTCAGGCGCCCCATCTCTGCTTCCTCCCGGCTTCTCCTCCTCCCTGGCAGAGCATGAGCCTCACAAAGTCCTTGGTCATGGTAAACATCACTTAGCGACAACCGAAAACATCGGTATCACCAGCATTGTTCCCAGGCTGGAAGTCAAAACACAGCACTGCACCAGCTACCACAAAGGAGAAACATGACTGCTACTGCTGAACCCAGGACAGAGATTTAGATTCAGAGTTTTGGTTTGGCGTATGACAGATAAAACCACAGAGCTGAAAAGAAACAGAATTGAAAATTGTCAGATCTTTGATGACAGTTTTAGTTCAGGCTCATGTCTAGGAGGTAAATTCTGTCCTAATTAGAAACAGTATAATCAGCAACCGTAGTAGGTTTCCTATTTATTTCCTTTTATTTTCTCTCCCAAAAATCAAAGGAGTTAGAGGTATTGTTTTGTTGTTAAAGGCAAAGGCCTGGCTATCCTCCAAGTGTCAGTCTTCATGGAGCAATTTATCAGCAGTCTGCCAGCTTTAGTGTGGCAGCAGAAGATTACAAAAGAACACAAGGGAATCGGAGGGTAAAGCAAACATAAAGCTTGTGCAAATTTCAGTTCCCATCCCTATCTATCTAGTTTGAAGTAAAATATCACATCAATTTATGTTTCAGCAACAAAAATAAAATGTATTGTAAGATAGAGAATGCTACCCCCCCCATTACAGTAAAGTATTTGTAAACTTACATTTGCAAATTGTAAATATTTTTATAAGCTATAAAGAAATAATCTCATTAAAGTATAGTAAGTCAGAGCAATCACAAGAATAGAACCTCCTTCTGAAGTTATGTATGTATTTGTTTCAGTTGCTTCATGAGAGTATCTTGGTGCTTTAAACTACTCTTACTACACAAAAAAAGATTTAATTTTTTTTTTTGCATTAGTAATGAAGAACTTCTAAACTATTTTTGCTTAATTTTTCTAAAATTGTGAAGGGGTTTGATCTTAATCTGAGATAGTACTTCATCTGTTACACTGTTTTCAATATAACAAGGAAAAATTTGTGCGATATCCCCTCCGAACTGTGAAAACAGCAAAGCTCTTGGCTTCACAAGGCCGAGCATCCATCCCCCTTTGCTCCCTGCTGTATAGGCCAGTGAGGAGCTGGAGATGATCTGTTGTGACAACAAGATGCAGACAACCAGCAGGTCAGTAGAAAAACAAAGACAGACTTGGACTGTGGAGAAATAGAGCGGCAAATGGTATACGTTACCCAGACATCTTTTTTCCCTCCAATATGACTACTCTTCATCTGCTTTCTCTGTGAATCAGGGTTCTTCCATACAGTGGCGTCTATGACACTCCAGCTAAATGCTATCCCCTATGTGCTGTGTTCTGTACATGTGAGAAAGACAGTGCTAATTGAATTAGCAGTTGGTATTTATTCTTTTATTTTTCTGCAGATTTCTGAAGATGAAGGGGTGGAAACCCACTCCAGAAAGTTGAAGAGATTTCTCCTTATCAGCCCTAAGGCATTTTATTTTTTAAATGCCATAAACTAGCAAATATAGAAGATGGATCACAATGCAATATGCACAGAGTGATAAAATGAAGCAAGAAATTAAATGATCCATATCAAATATTGAAGGGCAAGTAGCAAGGTAGAACTATGTATACAGGCTAAGTGTCTGCATGTGGAAATTGAAACAGAACTGGCATTAGAGGCAGCAATAGCCAGTTGGATGTTTTAATTTAGCTAAGAATTAAGTATCCATATTCCTAGCTCCGAAGTTCAGAACTAATAACAAAACAATTAAAATGCATAACTCTTGATAATGTCTTGGGCAATCTATGAAATATCTAAGAAAAAAAAGGTGGGCGAAGTTCTTTTTATAAAACCCAGTAATTCCTACTGTGTTGTATTCTTTATGCATAGGAAAGAATTTGGAAGTTATAAAGGAATTAAAGGCTGAAACTCTTACATCTCTTTTTATGGATTTCAGTTAGTGATAGCACCACGCCCCGATTATTTATTCCAGATGTTTCCAATGTACAGTTATTTAAAAAACAGGACAAACTGGTAAATTATGTGCTGCTTTAGAAAGAGGAGTTTAAATGGTTTGACCTTTGACTTTATGAATTGGTTTTTGTCTGTCTCTTGTTCAAGGAATTTGATAACATAATTCAAAGAATTGGATTGCACATCTGAACTGAATACCAATTAACTAAAGCAATTTTCTAAGAATTAAAGGCTTTAAAACTTTTAGTTTCAGTAACTATTATACATTGGAGATTTTGGACAATAACTCAGAAGCAATTTTTATTCCCTGTATATCTGGAACAATACTAGAAATCTTAAAGAAACAGATTCTGCATGACTAAAGCAAGAATTAATTGCAACTGTGGACTGATTTAAAAATTGAGCATTTTTATTCTTCCTAAAGAAATTTAGTAAGAGATTTCCAAACATTGCTGAAATAACTTCAGAAGTAAAGTCACTTACTTAAAAAAAAAACACTCTGAAAAATTGGTATGTGTGTGTCCTATCTGAAATGTTTTCTGTTCCTTGGACTGTATTCTACCTTGGCAAAAAAATTTTGAAACATTGGCAGGTATTAAGAACATAAACACTTTTTTTTTTTTTTTAATGGCATGCCCTATTTAAATATTATTTATACATCCATTCTTCTGTGTTGCATTTTACTACATCTTGATGTGTGAATTAAAGGACTGAAACGTTCTAAAAAAAAGTCCTCCAGCTGGAAAAAGAGGTAGTATGGGAGATACCAACCAGATTGAGTACTTCAGATAAGTTTCAGTTTTACAGCAAAAAGATTGCAACAGGAGCTAAAAAGTGAACATGCGGTGACATGCAACTGCAATGCCCTTCAAAAGCAAACTGCTCCTATGAGGGTTTGGCAAACTGTTGTTCTACACCAAGATAATTAAGGCAAAGTGTGGACATTTGGCTGCGGAATTTTTGCCCCCTGTATTTAGAAACGTGGTAGAACAAAGTTCTAACTTAATGCTTTTGATTTACCTGTTCTTAATTTACAGGAATTTCCAGATTCTCTGAAAGAGCAGATCTACCTGAAAGAGTGGCATGTGTACAATACATTGATACAAACCATTCCAGCCTACATTGCATTATTTCAAGATCTGAGAGTACTGGAGTTGTCAAAAAATCGAATCAACCATCTCCCAGTGGAAATTGGTAAGTTGGCTCAAGATATTCAGCAAGTTATACTTATGCCATTTAACTATATTGCAGGGAAAAGAGTTTATGTGGATATTCTTTGTCATTCACTGATAATTGTCTTCTCTCTTGTTTCCAGTGAACAATAACTTCAAAATTTCTACAGCTCTCTGGCTGTAATTACACTTCTCAATTTGTAGGCAATACCATGTGTGTAGTATGGCTCAAGCATGGCGAAAAAATTACACATTTTTGTTATCTGACTATAAGGCAGTTATTGCTTGTATTCAAGTAGATGGAGAGCTCTTCCTGAGAGCAGGTGGTGGTTTATGCTCCTTACAAATTAAGAAAACTAGAAATATTATAGAATTGTAAACCTCAAACAAGATGAATTGAAACGTAGGATTGCAGTAAAAAGGAATTTGAATTTTATAATGAGTTCCGTAAAAAACATTGCTGTAACTGGTGGTACCTTTAAGAACTGAAAAGGTGGGTCCCCTGTTAGGCCTCTGTATTTGAGCCCATGCACCTTGGTGTACTAATACATCAGAATTTGTTTTTAAATGCAGTAGTCCTAAGCTTTACCCATGATTGATATTTCTTACGTACAATAAAAGCTGACAAAGAGATTAAGACTAAAACCTCCACCTCCATAGTTATCATAGGGTTAACTAAGAAAAAGGAAGAGAGAGAGCATCCAGAAACACAAAAGCCAGTGTTAGACTTTTGCTACTCTTTTTCTACCCTTTTTCTACTCTATTAGTAGAGCAACACTCAAGATTTCGGTTTATTTACTAACATTATGTCTTACACAGAAAATTTCCCACTGACATCAAGGTATATTTTATAGTTTCAACCTGGCAGCTAAATACACTAACAAATCATAAACAGGACACAAGCAGGAGATGACTGACATCATCTGAGAGACAGTAACTCTTTTGTCAGTACTTTGACCATAGAGCTCAGATGGTCAGTGAGTTTAATGGACAAACACCTTCTATCAGGTCGTGTGTATGAAGGGGAAAGGGGTTGTTCTTTCCTAGAGGCTACCCTCAACTACTAAAAGTAAGATTTTAATGGGTTGCTTAACAATCAGGGCAGGTAAAGACTAAGTTTTTTCTTTCTTCTTGTAGTATTGTGCATCCTTACTGAAAATGATCCCCAAGAAAAAGTGGTTATGAAGTGGGTTTCCAGAATAAAGGAACAAAGCCAGATCATTCTAGCACAACAAATTCTCTGTAGAGGGTCCTGTAGTCATCATACCAGACCTTTCTCAGGAAACAAGGAAGAAAATCTGAAATGTTTCTAACAGCAATCACTGTTCTTTCAACTGTGTTTAAATGATCGGTAGTGGTAGTTTCATGTTATTCCCATTTATCCACTTTATCTCCAATATACTCATCTCTCTAGCTTACACAAAAGGTGTTACTTTCTTCTTTTCAACGTTTTTGTTATGCTTTTTTGTGTAAATAAAAAATGGCCACTGAATACTAGCCCACTGTTTGCAGTAGGTCCTGCCTCAAATACAGTGTTATAACACTACCCTCCTCTTAACAGTGAATTATAGAATCATAGACTCATAGAATAATTAGGGTTGGAAAGGACCTTAAGATTATCTAGTTCCAACCCCCCTGCCATGGGCAGGGACACCTTGCGTCACCCAAGGCTCTGTCCAACCTGACCTTGAACACTGCCAGGGATGGAGCATTGACACCTTCCTTGGGCAACCTGTTCCAGTGCCTCACCACCCTCACAGTAAAGAACTTTTTCTTTACATGTAACTTAAACTTCCCCTGTTTAAGTTTTAACCCATTACCCTTTGTTCTATCACTACCGTCTGTAATAAAGAGTCCTCTGGCAGCCTTGTAGGTCACCTTCAGATACTGGAAGGCTGCTATGAGGTCTCCATGCAGCCTCCTCTTCTCCAGGCTGAACAGCCCCAACTTTCTCAGCCTATCTTCATACGGGAGGTTCTCCAGAACCCTGATCATTCTTGTGGTCCTCCTCTGGACTTGGTCCGACAGCTCCATGTCCTTCTTATGCTGAGGACACCAGAACTGTACACAGTACTCCAAGTGAGGTCTCATTATAGGAGAGCAAAGCAGGGGGGCAGGATCACCTCCTTTGACCTGCTGGTCATGCTAAATCTGATGCAGCCCAGCACATAGTTGGCTTTCTGGGCTGCGAGCACACACTACCAGCTCATGTTAAGTTTCTCATCAACCAACACCCCCAAGTCCATCTCTGCAGGGCTGCTCTGAATCTCTTCTCTGCCCAACCTGTATCTGAATTCTTGTTCAGAAATTCCTTTTTCAAAATACAGCAAATGAGTGCAGGCATGACTGTACACACATCTGAAGAAATCTGGGTTTAAACCTTTCATTTTGAGAAACTGCATAACCAAATTAACAAATTTGTTTAGCTGTAGATGCTATTTATATACTATTTCTACATCATAGCAGTAATTCTAGCCTATTCAAAGGCACAGCTTCACTGATATAATTCAGAAAGAAATAATACAAAAAAGTCCCTCCAAGACTGTTACAACTGAGCTGTACAACACTTTTTTGACAAAATTGCCTAATGATTTGCAGTCTTAGTGAATATCCTGTGTTGATAGTCTGACCTCCTATTAGTAATGAAATGGACCTGCCATTGATATTATGGCATAAATTACACAGAAGTTTTACCTCAGTTTGTATAATGCTCTCTTTGTTGACAAGTAATGTAGTTTGCTTGCAAATGGCTTTGATTTTATTTCATGTATTGGAAATAATAATTTTAATAAGACATTCTTATGAAAGATCTTGGATATTTTGAAGTGTTTGAATACTGCTTCATAATGAAAGTTTTCATATTTTAGTTGTCTAGCTGCTAAATTATCACAGGGAAAAAAATCAATGTGGGTTTGGTTTGGGAGCTCTATTTAAGTAAGGTGTGGGGACTGGGTGCTAAACCAGAGGTAAGGGCTTTGGAAAGGTTAAGTGCTAAGGTATCCATCATTCTGTGTTCTGTTTACAAAACAGCAGCAAGTAGGTAAATATCACGGCTAAAATGTACTTGAGAGTAAATGGCAGATGGTTGAAGCTGGCAGTAACATGCATGCTGTTGAGTCTTTAATCTTCAGACAGAATTGAAGCCAAATTTATATCAACAAATCATCCAGCAGAAGCTAAACTAGTGAGCCATGTTCAGATTACTTTTGGTTCTCACAAGAGGGCTCTAAAAGTGTGAGAGAACAGAGGATGATAACAATGTTTTTAGTGGAAAAAGATATTGCTGCAGCAGCAGCCTTTGGACTAAAATATCAGCAGGAACTGAAATGCATGTTCCTGTTTTGCCTGATTTAGAAGGGGTTTAGAAGCTGATTTAGAAACTCTACTCTGGATTGGAGAGAAGACAGACTTGAATCCATTCTGAGACATTTCAAATCACGCTCTTGGCTATTACCACCTATGCACTTGAACAGATCAAATCTGGATCAGAAGATAGATAAGAATACTTTTGATTTGATTCTTTTTATGGAATAGTAGATATTTTCATGGAAACAAGTAAACAAAAATGGAGAAAATGGCAAAATGGACTTGCTGTCTGTCTCAGAGTTTTCAGGTCTTGTTTTCCCAGGAATAAAAAACAATAAAAAGTCATGAGCAGGGGTGTAGCTGTGGGATTTTCTTTGGCAATGGCTTCTGGGTGAGTCTGCAGTTCTGGCTTTGAGTGCACTGCTGCAGTGCTGTTGCTGTATATCAATTAGGGATAGTACATTAACAATTGATATAATCGAAAAAATATCCAATAGAATATATTCCCATATTCACACAGGAAGTAGTGAACTGCATTTTCATGTAATACCAAAGCTTTTGTGCTGAGATGGGATAGAGAGACTGCATCAGGATTCTTTGTCCCACAAATTATTCATGAAACATTTCAAAGAGCTGTTAATAAAATATTTGTACCTCATTATGTTTTTTCACTTTTTTTGGTATGCCAAATATTTGAGAGGAAAAATAACTGTGCTTTAGAGACATATTTTAATAAGAAATCACAGAGATTTTTTTGGACTCCTCCCTACCTCACAGTATTTCATTTATGCATACTATTAATCCAATTTCCTAGAACTCAGAGGGGAAAACTATCAGTAATAGTGTTTTAAATGACTTTAAGCTACCTAAATTAACTTTTTTATTAATAAGATTTCCAGTGTGTTGATGTGTGAGTTTCCAAGAAGAAAATACATATTCTGAGCTTAAATGGAGTCTAGTTGCAAATTCATCTTTTACCTTTTCAATTTATTTAGTATTGAATGTCATCTGTCCAACAGCTCAGTCTTGTACACTACTGAGGAAAATTTTCATTTTATTCCCCACTTGAAGGGGAAGTATTAAACACCTGTGTTGCAAGCTGTTTTTAAGAGGATGCCAATTGCTTTAAATCTAGCATCTAATATGATAGCTTCACATACTGGAACAGCTGGAAAGCTCCTCAAAATTTAACCCTTGGTTAGTGCATCACAAAAATACAAAATTGTACTTTCAATTGGAACAGCTAGAGAGGAAATAATCTTTATTATTCATCTACTAAAGTATCAAAAATGAGACTGTTGTACTAAAATGTAATACAATCATACTGTTTTAACAAATTTCAGCATCACTGGATCTTACAAAGGCCAGTACTTTATTAAGCTGAATTTCTTAAAAGGATTTTAAATAGTGCCATTGGTACAGAGCTCAAACTGTAACCATTGCCTTGGAAACTGCTAATTGCATAAATTGGTTTTACCAAAAGATACCTATCTATTGACTGCGCTATTGCACTGACTACATGATATATAACAATATCAGAACACATTCTTCCTATACAGAGCAGATTAGTATTAGCAAACTCTGTGATTTATTTCTCCATCTTCCTTGGGTCACAATGGGAATATCAGAGGTTGTGAACATCATTCTGGTTATGATGGAAAAGTTTTATCCAAGAAGCTACTTCAGTTTCCAAAGTGATCATGACCCATCCCTAGA